CATTAAATAACAGATACACACATCAACTATTTTTTTATGGAAGGACCAAATTAGAGTTAAATTGGTAAAAAATAAGAACCAAATCAAGAATTTTTTTAGTTTATGGACCAAATTGAGAATTTAACCTAAAAAAAAAACTTGAAGTTAACAAAGATTGAACTCACAACCCCTTATACTAAAAAAAATTGAACCACTAAATCAAAAATAATATTTAATAGTAAAAACTTAGATAGTTTTTCTTTTATATTAAAAACATCATGTCACTCAATTTTCTTTAGAAATAAAGGAAGAAAATTTAATAAATTAACATTTTTAGAGTAAGACTCAAGCTATGTTTGGTTTCACAAATAATAATAGCTAATAGATGTAGTTATTAACTGATGACTCATAAAACAACTAAAATCAATTTGAAATCGACCTATATGCCAACATTTCCAAACATCATAATTGGCTGTTTTAAGTGGAAAAAAAAAATTATAGGTTGATAAACCACACCAAAAATACTCTCAAATTTAAAATAAAAAGTATATAGATATGATATTTTCATTAAAAAAATTGTTAAAATAATAAAAGAAAAGGATTTTCAAATCTATACTATAAGAACATAGATTAAATCTCATTAATTACAATATTTGTAATTAAAATATAATATTTATATTCAAAATTTGTATAAAATTAATTAAAAATATATTAACTAATAAGTTTTAGGGTTAGACAAACCCTAAGAGAAATAACCTTATGAACAAGTGTCATGACTACTTCTAAAATTGTTTAATTATAATTTTTAACATTTTAATTGTCAAAATATCATATATTTTTTTAATCCCTTATAGTTTGTTTTTATTTTATTGATTAAAAAACTGAATATTCAAATATGATCTAAGTTTATTGTTCTACTCCATAGAAATGCATTATATACTCTAATTTCCTCTATAATTTTTTTAATAAAAAATAAGAAAATTCAAATAAAAAGACCTGAGCCCAACAACAGCCTAGACAAAATTGGGCTCAACCGCATCATTAACAACCAACATTTGAGATTAAAACAAAACGAAAAAACATATATGAATCCTTATTGCTTGATGTAATGATTAAAGGAAGGACAAAGAATTTCCAAATATCTAAATCCATATATGATCGCAGTTGCACAGAAAATAAGGTTTTTTTTTTTTTTTTAATGACATATTATCTTTTTTTATACACTACGCCCTTTAACATGAAATGACCTGATTTATTGTATTGTTGTGGGTAGTGACTTTTCCCAAGTTGTTGGTACCATTTCATAGTGATCAATATAATCGGTATGTATCAATTTTTTTATTGATCTGAAACGGTATATAGTTTAATTTCAATTCGATCAAATTTTATATATTTCTATCAAAATTTGATGTATGAACTGGTACATCGATCTACCGGCCAATACATGGAAAATCAATCAATACAAACCAATTCAAATTAAAAAAAGGTAAATTCATTTTTGGTCCTCAATTTTAATATTTTGTATAATTTTTATCTTTTAACTTTTTTTCATATATTTTTTAGTCCATTAATTATGAAAAATATATATTTTTAATCATTTTATCAATTAATCTATTAA